AAAGTATATTGTTCACCTTTGTCCCAAGGTTCCCGCGGCATTTTTCTGTGGTGTTTCTGTTCCCCCTGTTTCGTCTAGCCGCTTGGTCTCGCCCAGGATGTTGGCTCAGGCCTCCGAGTCCGGCCCGGCAGATTCAAAAGTACGCGATTTTTTACTTCAGCTCCAAACTCCACAAGCTATAAATCTTCAAACCTTTAAAATATTCCTATCTCTGCGGTTCCGAGTTTTGGAACTCTGCCCTGGCTCTGCTTTCCCTGATATTCTGTGTTATTTCTGACGGCGACCTTCACTGCACTTCCACCCTAGCTGCCATCTCAGTGTCCATTTTTCTTGTTCCTTTTTAATGTTCTTTGAGTTTGGGGAACAAAAAGAAGTTGAAGGAGGATGATCAAGGCTGTTGGGAACAAGGTAAGGTTTGCCAGAAATATTTTGTAGGATAGCTTGTGACCTTCGAAGAATGAGCATGTAAATTGTCCTGAGAGTTAAAAGTTTCTTGGTGTAACATTTCTGGAATTTTCTCACCAATGCAGACTTAATTTTCTTACAGCTTCTTCCTAATAAATCTTCCCATGATGTCCCTGTGTTCTTTGAGAATATTATCCAGATGACCTCCTTTGGAATCCAGCCTGTCACCACTGTCTTCTGAGCTGACCTCTCTGCCTTGAATTTAACTGGCCCAGAAGAACCTCTAGGAAGTCACTGCTTTGATTGGACCTCTTTTTGTGAAGGCATCCCAATGGGATTAACACAAATTTATTACTAAGGGACCTTGTCTGCAGCCATCCACTGGCCACAAAGACATGCTAAAACATATTTTTTCTGGAATAAACTCATTCCTCTGGTATGAGTTTTTAATGTTTTACTGTGAATTATGTGATAGTGTACATGGGAGAACATCAGTTTTATGTTCATCCTATCGTATATCGTTTCATTGCCATGGTTACAATCCCCTCCATGCATCATCAACCAACCAAAGTGTATACAGTACAAGCGTGCCCCCCGGTCGTCAGCACACAGTCCCTCTCCTTCTCTGTGCCTAAGTCCCCAGCTGCTCCATCTCTCTGCATCATCATCTCTGCCTCCATCTCTGGTGTCACTGGTAGCAGTACTTTTGACTTACCCTTCTGTCTCGTTTGTGTGCATGATATATATATCGATCTAGCTCGTATCATAAATCACTTTTGTATATATATATAAAAAAAAAAAACAAGCTGCACTTGCAGATAACATAGCTGCCATCTGTTTGGTAGCAATTTTAAGTCACCCATAATTTGTAAGATGTACCCAATTTTGTGTCTTAGAATAGTTAAAATATGGTATATAAATATATCATGAGTTATTTTTTAAATAGCTAAAATAGGACTTGGTTGTGAAGGAAAGAAACTAACCTCTGAGCACCTATCACAGGTTAGGAACTTGACATGTATTATTTATTCATCACAACAATGCTATGAAGAAAACTGACTCACAGAGATTAAGAGACTTGCACAGGGTCACTCTGTAAGCAGTAGAAACAGGAAGCCCAGTCAAATTAATGAGCAGTCTTAGTCAACAGTTATCTAGTTTATATTTATGATGGTGAAATAGGGTATAAAGGGATAGCTCAAAACACTGGCATATAAATGAATGTTTATTTACTGGGCCCTAGTGTCTGGTCCCATAAAGATTTACAGCCTCGGAAACCCTGTACAGGGTCGCTATGAGTCGGAACCGACTCCATGGCAAACAGCCAGTATGGCACTGTAGATTAACACTGGACTCGTAACACCAGTTTGTCAGTTCAAGTCCACTGGCTGCTCTTGGAAATCCTATGTAGCATTGCTAGGAGTAGGAACTGACAATAAAGAACAAACAGTGAGCCTTATATTACTGCAGAGAAAGATGTAATATGGTATGTTAAAGACATAAACAGACCTGGTGGCACAGTGGATAAGTACTTGGCTGTTACTTGGAAATCCTGTGAAGCAGTTTCACTTATAGAGTCTACTCAGAGAGTTGACATGAGATGGAATCAACTCAATGGCCGTGGGTTTGATTTTGATGGAATGATCTAAATGTTGCCTACCAGAAGGGTAAGATAAATTTAAATTCATCAATCAATACACAAAACTAGTTAGAAATAGTCTTTTACTCTAAACTTAAAATATATGTTAAGTATTATAAATACTTTAATGTGATTTTTTGCTAGTAAGCATAAAATTCCACTTTCACACAAAAGCCTAATTTAAGGTTTTCCTTTGATTCATTATTATATAATTTGCTAGATATTGCCATTTTCACTCAATACCTCATAGAGTCCTGATGTGGTGCTTATAGTCTAAGCACCGGATTGCTAACTACAAGGTTGACAGTTCAAGCCCACCAGCCACTTTTCAGGAACTCTACAGGGTCGTTACAGGTCAGAAATGACAGCACTTACCAACAACCCAACAACATTATAAAAATAATGAAAAATGCCTTTTTGAATTTCCTTATATCATTCATAAAGTACTCCTCTTGTATGGTTTATGCATATCTTTAAGTCAGAAAGTATATATAGCCTAATACATTTGGTTTGTTGTGTTTTAAAAGAAACTTTAAATTTGTCCTTACTTTCCACTTAGTACTGCCACACCTACTGTGCTCCTGGGGGTGGACATGGCGGCAACAAAATTCCACTGGCGAGCCTGAGGGTCCCATCTTTCCACTGTGTTCAGGTAGCTCCAGCCATCATGCCCTCCAATTGCATACATGGGACCCTCCAGTACAGCCACACCTATGAGGAAACAGGAAAGAAGCAATGGCGTGGACTTACTGCTGAGTCTTAAAGAGGATACTGGAATTGAGACGAAATTGCAATGAACCTTAATATGCAAATTCAAACAAAAACATAGGAAATTTCTTAGAGGGTGGGTCAAAGGTCTGGTGGTGACATATAGCATTGTAGTACTTGCCTTAAAAGGTTTAGAGGCAGTACTTGAGGTCCAACCATGTGTCCCAAAGTAAAACTTAGGACTCAAAAATTTCAATTAAAGAGAGATTTATTAAGAAATAAAAGCAACTTGAGTTAGGGAGGCAGTAAGTCTCATAGGGTAAGATTACTTGATCCATTGAGACATGAAGTGACAAGAATTTATAAAGATAAAAACCATAGGCATCTGGGGTACAGCGAAAGCTCTCTTCACTGATAAATGAGTGAACAATCAGGAAACTAAAGGTGGGCTATGCCACAAGTGGAGCTTTGTCCATTATAGGTATGTGGTAGGATGAGGTTAGGCGGGGGAGCTTGGTACTATTCTGAGAATTGACCAACCACTAACTGTTTATGGGTGCAGCTGTCTCCTGGAACATATGAACAAAAGTGAACAGAACATGGTCAGAAAAAAGGGGCAAGATGGAGCCACTCTTGCTCCCTTATCATGAGCCCAATAGGTCATAGCCTGTTTTGGATTATTCTGTCACATGGAAAGTTTAAAAAATTATTTAATTTTGTATTGTTGCTGAGACTATACACATCAAAACAGATACCAATGTAGCCATTTCTACCATTGAGCGTTACTGGTTGCAACCATTCTAACCTTTCTCTTGAGTTGTTTCTTCTCCATTAATATAAACTCATGGCCTCCTAAATTTCCGATCTAATTTTTTAAGTTGCTGTTGTAAATTTCACCCCATATAGTTTGTAAAAGAGCATAAAGTTCGAGGCAAAGTTCAAGGCAAACTTTTTTTTTTACTAGTTAAGCTAAACTATTATTTGTTTTAAAGAAGATTCAGGGATATTTTTGGTTGAAAATACAAAGATTATCTCAAGGTAAGAGTTTCATGGGTTCATCTAGTCCTCTTGGCTTCAGAAAGTCTGGCGTCCGTGAGAATCTGATACCCTGTTCTGCATTTCCCCACTT